ATATCTCTCAGCTCTGCTACACCAACCAATTACTGATTAATTTACAACCCAGTAAAGAACAACACAGGATATGGGATCTACCCTCAGGGCAAGCAGTTTTCATTCAGAGATCTCAAATCCTCTTACAAAGGAAGCCACTATCACACCACACTCAGAACATCCAGCCAGAGGTTACCTTTAAAGTTATTTTTAGGGCTTTTTTCCCTTCTTTTTTTTTTCCCCTTGGGCACTCACAAGCCTTACTCAGAAAAAGCAAACCTCAAGATCTCTTGTAATGTTGTTTAGGAATTACAATTCTTTCCAATAGCCAGAGAATAAAGATTTGAACAGAGGAAAGGAGAAGGGTGAAGTGTCCCTGTGACAAATCCAGATTTCATGTTGGAAGTGGTCCCTAAGAGGTTAAATTCTCATTTTTCTAAAGCTTATTTTAAAATGTAAACTGAATTCTGAGCCAGAGTAGCACAGGTCAAAATCCAGAGACTGAGCTGCTGCAGAGAAGGGCTCACTTGTCATAAAGGAATCTTCCACCCACTGAAAGTTTTTGGAGAGGCTCTAAATGTGCACATCCATTTCAACTGACAGTGAAGCACCCAAACTTTGTTCCATTGGGTTAAAATATGGCTAATGATTCTTTCAGACTCTAAAAAGTTTCTACCTGCAGCACCAAGTTGGTCTGTAAACCTTGTGCCTTAAATCCCTTAATGCCCACTGCCCCCTCCCAACCACACCCCAGGCAGCTTCAGCAGGAGTTCCTTCACCCCACATTTGGTCTCCCACAGCTGCCACACACTCCAAGGGCTCTTAGGGAGCATTGGAAGAGGTGGGATTTACAGTCACAGTGGTGGGACATGGCTGACCTGTTAGGGAACAGTGCCAAAGGGGATCAGGAAAGCTCTCCTGGGGCAAATGGACATAGAAACTCCTTGAACACACTCTGGGGGAGATTTTGGCTCCTAGAAACTCCTAAGAACACCCCCCTCTCTATCTATACTGCAAATGAGACTGTCAGCATCATTAACCTTTTTGTTTCAGAACAAAACAGCATTAATCTCAAAACTGTGCCAACAAAACATGCCCATTTGATTACTTCCCAGCCCATCACAAAGAAGGAATTAGGACATTATTATTGCTGTTACTCACTGCTGAAGTTTATAAATGTGAAGGTTAATAAAGTCATTCCATTCCCTGGGAATGAGTCTTGATTGTGATAACTAGAGAGACAGATCAATCTCCCAGCTGGGGGAGATAATCTGCAGCAAGAACTGGTGTCCCTGTGATTAATAACATCTTACAGGCCACAAACACACCCTTTAGAGTTCACTTTCATCTGATAAATACATCCAGGGGAGCAACTTTGGAGGACAGGGAAAGTGTGGCCCAACTGTAAAACTCAAAATCTACCTAGTTCTTAAATCCACCAAGAACCACCACCACATATTACAGGATTTGGTGCACTAAGGGTGGGATTCACTGTTGTATCAGCTGGCATTTAATATATTTGAATGTATTACCAATATACACCCGACCTTGGGGCAAATTTTTGTGCTCAGATTCCATGTGCAGGAGGCACCATCACCCTGAACTGTGGAACTTTACCCTCAGCAACTCTTTAAAACTCCATCTCTTCTCTAAGGGAGAGTATGGAATAGCTGCAACTCAAGCAGGAAGAGAGGTTTTGGCATTCCCCTGAACTCCTGAATCCACCTGCCTGATCCAAATGACTGCAAGGATGCAGGGCCTGCTCCAAGCCCTCTGACAATACTTTACAAAATGCAATGAGCCTGCAGCACGTGGGAGGAAAAAAAAAAGCTGTAAAAGAAAACTCAGCCTTGATTTCCATCAAGTCAGGTAACAAGAGATGGATGCAAAATTAAATTAAGATGACCTGCAGAGATGTGAGTGGACATTTATTAGTCACACTCACCTCCACAGCCTCACTGCCAGTCCAGAAAAGGAAGACAACAAGGAATTATGACCATCTGTGCTAGTGAATCACACAAGAGGCAACACAGAAGAGGTCAAAGCTGGGCCTTAAAACATTTCAAATTGTCTACCTTGCACGAGGCAGGACCTGCTGTTCCACCCCCCACGTGCAGAGGGGTGACCACACAACACTGACACCCAAAAAACTCGTGCTGGAAACCCTTCTGCCCACTCCAAATCCAAGTAACTCTGAGGATGAAGACCTGCCTGTGATATAACCCTGAAGATACACAAGTTTCTCTGAAACTTGTATGTGAATAGCTCAGGTAGAAACCCCTGTGGGGGTAAGGATTTACTGCAGGACAACAAGTTACCTCAGCATAAAATAAATGTCAGATTAATTTTATACTGTTCAGAATTCCATGAGAGGAAAGATGGCTAAAGGGAGAGCACAACTCACCTGACACAGGAAACTTCTCACTGCACAAACTCAGAGCCTCCAAAGAGAGGATGGGACTTCAACTGAGATGGATTTGAACAACTACAGCTTCCTGCCTGGCAGCAAGAGAGCCTGGTTGTGATGAATTACTGTCATAAATGCAGATCATCTGCTCTCTCACATCCAGTCCTCAGCATTCATTTTTATCACAGTAAACAACTGCACCTATGGGGTCCTCTCACAGCTCGAGGGTTTGCACAAACCTGTCCATGTGCACATTCCCCAGCAGAGTCAGCACCAGGACAAAGCCATCCTTCCTCCCAGGCACGGCCATCAGCTCAGGCTCCCTCCTGGAAGGCTGACACATCACCCCAAGAGGGCCCTTTCTCCATTCCCTGCTCTGGTTGCAAGAGCATGAAACCAGAACTGTGGATTGCAGCTGGGCAGATGTGCCAAGCAGAACGGGAATAAAGGGGCCAGTAATGAGAACTACAGCTTTTAAGGTCTTAAATTTAATCCAAAAAAAAAAAAAAGGACATGCCCACGGCAGCACACTTCTGTGGCATCAGTGACAAAAGCTGATCCAAGTTTTAGGGCCTCCTGTCCATCAGCTGACAACAGCCTATATCCCAAAGGGCCAGAACACTTCCAGGCACGCTGAGAGTGGACTTTCAATTCCACACCTACACTTGCACCCTCAGGATTTAACCATTTGCAAGAGGGCAACATTCACCTGGCACAGTAGAACATCTTTGCCATCTCCTCCAAGGAAAAAGCTCAAACGATCAGAAACTGCAGCTCAACTTGAGGGGAGTGTGTGAGCTCAAACACAAACTGCAGCTCAACTTGAGGGCAGTGTCTGTGCTCAGAAACTGCAGCTCAACTTGAGGGGAGTGTGCTCAGAAACTACAACTCAACTTCAGGTGAGTGTCTGTGCTCAGACAAACTACAGCTCACAACTTGAGGGCAGTGTCTGTGCTCAAAAACTACAGCTCAACTCGAGGGCAGTGTCTGTTCTCAAAAACTACAGCTCAACTCGAGGGCAGTGTCTGTGCTCAGATAAAAACTGCAGCTCAACTCGAGGGCAGTGTCTGTGCTCAGAAACTACAACTCAACTCCAGGTGAGTGTCTGTGTTCAGACACAAACTGCAGCTCAACTTGAGGTGAGTGTGCTCAGAAACTACAACTCAACTCGAGGGCAGTGTCTGTGCTCAGACACTACAGCTCAACTCGAGGGCAGTGTCTGTGCTCAGACAGCAGCTGCCCCACTGATCAGGGGCAGGCACTTGGGTCACAGCCACAGGAACCTGATCAACACACACACACAGGTTACTACAGAATTGCAAGTACAACACACAGGCCTCTCACTGCCCGAGCAGAGCAGCAAGAAAGCTGAGGAGAAAGTGGTTTGAATCTTTAAACAAAGGCACAGAGAGCAGGGAATCTCCACTGCCTGTGTATAAACCCACACCACAGTGACTTCAGCCCTGCTCACCACCAGCACGACGAGCTGGAGAAGCGAAGAGCAGGAAGTATTTTATTGCTGTGCTCACTTTTTATTCACAAACTGGGCTATGACACGTGGTTTTCCTGCATTACTCTACTCCTCCATCATGGTGTTGCCACATTTTGTCAGTCAGTGAAAAGCCAGTGCCTAATTCTCCACAGAACTGCTGGATGTCACCACGTCCCTTTCCTGGGCCCGGGATTCAGCAGTTCCCTGTTGGCTGCTGACCTCTAGTGGTGAGTGAAGGAGGGAGAGGAGAAAGGACCACAGTTCCACCGGGAAAACACTGATCCTTTCTCCCTCCAGATCAAAGCCAAAGGGTCAGCCACCCTCCCCTCACCAGCTGCAGTGCACAAGTCCATCCAAACTCAGGGGCAGAGTCCCCTCCCAAGAGCCTGCCTTGCCCCCAGGTCAGTGGGGCTGCTCTCCTCACAGAGGTTGTAACAAACAGCAGGAATTGTTTTATTTACCTCCTTCCCCCTCCCTAAGGTGAGGAACAGAGATGCCAATGCCCTCCCTGTAACACTGTCCCCTCCCCAGACACAGCCTCCTGTGAGGCAGGGCCTGGCTTGGGGTGTCCCAGTGCTGCCATCTCAGCTCAGTATTCTGTATTTTCACAGAATCCCAGAACAGCTGGGGTTGGAAGGGACTTTAAGGACCATCTCACTCCCTGCCACGGGTAGGGACACCTTCCACTAGACCAGGTTGCTCCAAGCCCCATCCAGCCTGGTCTTGGACACTTCCAGGGATCCAGGGGCAGCCACAGCTTCTCTGGGCAACCTGTGCCAGGGCCTCATCTTGGGAAAGAGCCGTGGGAAGCCCACACTGCAGAGGCTCCCAAGGTAAGGAAGGTGTAATTACAGACAGAGGTTGGTGTAAATCTTCCCTCAGACTGAAAACAACACCTTACCACTGCAGCATCTGCTTGGGGAACAAGTCACAGTTGGTCTGTACCTACATCCAGCACACTTCCAAAGTATGTCACTTTTTGGAACAGGCTCTCCAAGAGCTCGTATTTTACTCTCCCACAACCAAACCCTACAGATTCACATCCAGGCAATAATATTTTAAACAATCCAACCGATCAGTGGCAAAGACCTGACCGTTCCATACCCACAGGAACAGCAGTACCTTTGCTTTCTTCATGTGGCCCATGATATTGCCAAGATCTTCAACATCAATGATAGAATTGGTGCCTCCAGCTTCCTCAGCATCAGCTTCCTCCTCACTACTGGTTTCAAACAATTCCTCTGCCTGTGGGAGAGATCAGAGAAAAACAATTAAGAATTTATCTGAATGTTAAACATAACACCTTTTATCTAAGTGAGATAACTCTCCTTATTAGTGAAGACCTCTGAAAACAAGGAATATCCTACTAATAACCTGAAGGATGTACATGGAAGCCTGAAGCCCTTTAAACCCTTTAAGTGCTCCTGGATGAATGAACAAGGAGAGAGGGATTTGCTTTCCAAGGTAAACTCTCCACAGAGCAGAAAGGTTTCTCTCTTTCTGTACAAATCCAAGGTACAGCACAACAGCACTGGTGTAACAGCAAGATTTATTCCTCTTGCCCCTGCAGCAGCCAGCACTCCCAAAATCAGCCAGAAGAGACACTTACTGTCCTACAAAATTCCCCAAGGCCACAGCAAACATTCCCAACCCACAATAAATGGCTTGAGGGAAGGTTAAAGTGCCACAGCAGCTCTGGATCTTGCACTGGAGAGCAGGAAAGAGGATTTCTTATTCAAAATCTGCAAATCTGCAGATTTCTTATTCAAAATCTGCAATCAACACTCCAGCTACATGAATACAGGCAGATACATACAGAGGAAATACAGGACTTGCCCAGGTAACACTCCCCAAGTTGTCTCTGGAAAAACCCTGGGATGCAGGCAGACAAGCTAAGCTGCACCAGGATGAAGTGGAAGCAGGTTAACTGCTCTCAGGGAACTAAATGCTTCACCTGGCCATGGGACAAAGCAAAGGCTCTGATGAGAACCCAGAACTCAGACTGGAGCATCTGCCACAACATAAACCTCACCCCAGTCAGGAGGAAGACACCCTCACCACATAAATGCCACCTAGCTGGGTCCAGCACTAATTCTTTTTGGATGGTTCATTCCACATATTATCAGCCATGGGTTCTCATCTCTCATCCCCCTCTGCTCCAGAACAAAGTATCAGGCTCCCACAGCATCCCCGTGGGCTGGAGGAGGAAGGAGGGGGGCACTGACCCAGCCCTGAGGCCTCAAGGACTGTGGCTGTACCTCAGTATTCTCGTGCTCCGATGCCCCGCGTTCGTGATCCGAGCTCTCCCTGCTCTGCTTCCCTGGAGATTTGCACTTCCCTTTCTTGCACTTCCCGCTGCAGGGCTTCTTCTCTCCTCTGCAGAGGGCCTGGAGCCGAGTGAGGAGTTTGGCTTTCCAGGCCTCGAAGTCGCCCTCGACGCTGCCGTGCCTGCTCTGTGCCACGTTGCAGTCGCCCTCGGCGCGGGTCATCACACGGCTGGCACCGAGCATCCACAGCCACCTGTCCATCCTCCTGCCAACCTGGGACGGCAGCAAAGGGGCAGGGATATTAAACCAAGTCCAAAGGAAAGCAGGAAACTAAAAAAAAAAGCAAGGATCAAGCCTGGAAGGAGAGCTAGGGAGCTGCACAGGACTGCAGGGCAGGGACTCGTGGAGTCCCTCAGCAGACACAAGGCAGCCTGAACGCCCCACACTCCCTCAGATTGTTGGAAAATCCCTCTGCTGTCACACTGGTGTGGCAAGGGATGAGCTCTGGGAACAAGCTGCTCTGTGTGATGCCTGCTGCTCAAGGTGTGTAACACGTTTCACATGGCCCCAGCTGTAAACACAACAACCTGGTGACAGGAGATGCCATTTTTAATGAGTGAGGTGACACCAATGACCAGGCAAAGATACTGCCACAATCTGCATCAGGGAATAAAGCTAAAATCCACAACACACAAAGTAGCCAAGTTTGAGGAAAGCCCTGTAAACTAGAAGGCAGCAAGTGAGAACATTTACAGTCCTGTACCCTCAGGTGCTGACAGAAAGCTTTCCAAGCTGGGAAATGAACTCAGCAAGGGTTTACCAGGTGTATTCCCACATCTCCCAGTGCATATGGGACTCCCCATTTAAAAGGGCAGCACAATTGCTTCAAAGTTGCCCTGTCCAAGTGGCCAAAAAGGCCAATGGCATTGGCTTCTACAAGCAGTGGTGTGGCAGCAGGCCCAGGGTAGTGACTGTCCCCCTGTGCTGGCACTGCTGGGGCACCTCCTCGATCCTGGGGGGCAGGTTGGGGCTCCTCCTGACAAGAGAGACACTGAGGGGCTGGAGCATGTGCAGGGAAGGGAACGGAGCTGGGGAAGGGGCTGGAGCAGCAGGAGCAGCTGAGGGAGCTGGGGGGGCTCAGCCTGGAGAAAAGGAGGCTCAGGGGGGACCTTCTGGTTCTGCAACCCCCTGACAGGAGGGGGGAGCTGGGGGGGGTCGGGCTCTGCTCCCAGGGAACAAGGGACAGGAGGAGAGGGAACGGCCTCCAGCTGTGCCAGGGGAGGGTCAGGTTGGACATCAGGAGGAATTTCTCCATGGAAAGGGTGGTCAGGCACTGGAAGGGGCTGCCTGGAGAGGTGGTGCAGTCCCCAGCCCTGGAGGTGTCCGAGGAAGGACTGGAGGTGGCTCTCAGTGCTCTGGGCTGGGGGACAGGGTTGGCATCGGGCACAGGTTGGACTCAATGATCTTGGAGGCCTTTTCCAACCTCGACGATCCTGTAATTCTACTTGTGCCCTAAACCCAGTCCCTCAAGTCTGCAAACAGCTGCAATTCCCACCCAATCCACCAGCACCGCTCAGTTTTGGAGCGGTTCATCCAGCTGAGGCTCTCAGAGGAGCAGGAACCAAGAAGGAAGGACAGGGGACACACTTACTGTGTTGTAATGATCCACATACACCGAGTTCCCCAGGCCAAACACGGCGTATCTGAGCCCCTTCAGGTGGGTTTTCCCAACACGGAAATCGTTGGCTGCCTCTTCCAACCACTTGCAGAACCAGGCCGCGCTCTCCGGGGGCTGCCCATCCGTGTACGTGGCCACCAGGAACACACAGATGTTCCTGCTGGTTGTCTGACCACAGGGACACAACAGGAGAGACAAGATCACTGCATTATCAAAAACCCCTGACATCAGGAAAAGAGGCAGCTGGAAGGAACCAAAAGACAAGATGGGATGGTGCAGGTGACAATCCCAGTGGTGGTGAATGACCTGTCCCCTGGACTGGGACACAGTGAGCAGAATGGGACATCTTCCTAGAATCATACAATGTTAAGGAGTTGGAATGAACCTTAAAGATCATCCAGTCCCAACCCCCTGCCATGGGCAGGGACACTTCCCACTAGAGCAGGTTGCTCAAGGCTTTATCCAACCTGGCTTTGAACACTTCCAGGGTTGGGGCATCCACAACCTCCCCTGGGCAACCTGGGCCAGTGTTCCACCACCCTCACAGTAAAAAAATTTCTCCCTGATATCTAACCTAAATTTCCCCTCTTTCAATTTGTATCCATTACTCCTTCCCCAGTCAGCAGCTTCCTGACCAGACTCTTTCACCATAGTCCCCCATGGATAAATATTTAAAACTACAGACTCCTTCACCACAAAGTCCCCCATGGATAAATATCTAAAACTTCCCAACCTCGCATTTCCAGGTTTGTCAGGGGCAGTATCCAGTGCTGACAACTCACACTGAAACTTCCACCTCAGGAACTTCCAACACACAGTTCCCACATGCAGGGAGATACAACCAAAAAGTTTTGTTAGGATTAATTAAAACCATCAATATTCACAGAAGAAAAACCCATCAAGGGTTACTCCAAACACCTCACAAGGAGTTTCTAACTTGTAAGCCTATAAAAGCTGCAGAAGCATCACCAGCTGCTTGTTCTGGCTTTAAACCCTTCCCCAGGTGCACACGGAGAACAGGGGACCTGGTGCAGCCACTGTCACCCCTGAGTTACAGAACTGGCTCATACAAGGTCACTGTCAGCTTCAAAATGTTCTATGTGATGCTTTCCCAGTAATTTTCAAAATTTTGGTCTTTTCTGCTGAGGGCTGATGGGCTACACTTGCTTTTGTAGCAGGGAAACAATTTGCAACACACAGCTTTGAGGATTTCCAGGAGAACAGGAGAGAAATAAATGAGGAAAACAGCCTTGACAATCCCAGGAAAAAACTTGTATTTATTATTCCTATCTATGCCATACCCACCTCCTCTGCTAAACAATCATCTGG